AATATGATTTAAACTTGACATAAGCTTCACAATATACAACACCTCTTTATGTAAGAAATAATAAAATGCCTGCATGTGTTTTATATTTGGGCCCTAAGTTCGACCATTTTTTTCTTTCAATCAGACAATCCCGGGCTTGATCCAGGTCCGTTGCATTCTGGTTTATTTGGATCAAGTGTGGCTTAATACGCCTTGTTTCACTTTGTGTAGTCTGGTCCAGTCGATATATATAAATATATATACATATATTCGACAAAACAAAAAAATTATAGAAACCTAGTCTCGCAACAACCCAGCTGGCACCTCCGTTCTTCTTCTTCAAATCTTTTTCTTAGTAACTTGTATGCTTATCCACCTATGATGATATTTTGTTTGTGATCAAATCAAAGGCTGAGCATATGGTGTTGTTATTATTGCCAAATCCTGTTTATGACCTCTGTATTGAGTGTCAGCTCTTTAATCATCGTTAGATATTCTCTATGTCTCACTCTTTCATGCTTATGGATGATGGATGGCTGTGTATTTACCATAGAATATCTACATCAGAAGTCTATATGCTTTTCATTGTTTTGTATGATTTGACTTTGTTAAGACTTAAGAATTTACCATCAACATCCTTAGTCATATAGAGCCTTGATCACTGTTTCTTGGGATTTTTAATAGAATTACATATGTTTTCTAGTCTTTCCTTGTGTTTGAAGAAAACATGGTGATTTCTACAGGGTTTCTTTCTAAAGTGGAAGAGTTGGGGATAAGTGTTGGTTTGAAGTTCAAGAAAATAAACATCTTCAATCCCATAGAGAAACTTTGCATATGTAAATTGGTAAACTGTATTATGCACATCTGACATCTGCAAGAATTTAGTAAATATTTTGTTTTTCTTTTTTTTTGTTATTGTTTGGGAAAAAGAGATATCTATCTTTTGAGAAATACTATACCCTGTTCTCTGTGATATTGGTGGCATTACTGGTTTTCATTATTTTTCTTTTGTAAGGGTTTATTACTTACAACACAAGTATATAACTGGTAGAAATGAAGTTTGGACTTTATACTTGCTGGAATAAGGGGTATATAACTATATATGGATCTTGGTCAGCTCACTCCTCAAAGAAATCTATTTAATCTTCTTGTCATTTTTGGTAGCATCTGAACTTTATTGGGCATTCACCACTCTTGGATTACCCCTAATTTAGAACATTCTATGATAGATATATGGATGCTCCATGGTATTGTGTTTTTTGCCATTCAGATAAGGTGAGACTGAGGTACAGTCGGTAGTTGGAAGCCATTTTCCCTTTCAGACATTTCTTATTCTTTTTTGCTGATAGTAATTAGCGGATGATGCTGATTAAAGTGCATCTACACCATGAGGTGCTGAACATATACCCAGAACTTGTTCTTGTTCCAAAGATTTTTTTTTTTTTTTAACATGTACAATTTGAGGTAAGAAGTAAGGAATTATAACATGACAAAATTATAGTTTAAATTTTAATTATTATCAAAATATTAAATATATTTATAAGTGACTTATGAGGTATAATGTGAAAGATTATTAATTATATATCAAATACGCACATTCTCCCCCTCTTTTTTCTTCTTCTCTCTTTTTTTTTTTTTTAATTCCTTTTATAATCTTTTGCTTATCTACATTAAGTATTAATCTTCCTAATTTCGTTCACAAATGATTTTTTTCTGCAGGGCCTTGATGATATGATCAGTTTATTTTGATGGCTTCCTTCTCCAAAAGCTGCAAACAGTATGATTTTAACCATCTTCTCGAAAAGTGAAAACTGCTTGATTTGAACCTCGATAAAGATCCCCCCATGGCCCATGGGGAAGTTAACAAGTCATTATTTTTACCTTTTTTTATAGTCTAGTTTAATATTTCAGTTTTGTCAAAAAAAAAAAAAAAAACCTGTTTTAGTTTATCTTTTGCTCTTAAATTGTGACACAAATGCGTTGTTAAAACTTTAAAATTAAAA